CAAGCAGTTGAGCATCCTTCCGCGAATTCCAAGATCTGCCAGGTCTCGTATGATACCGTACTTCCACGTTGTGTCATATGCCTTTTCAAGATCGAAAAATACTGCTAAGCAGTGCTGCTTGTACAGGAAAGCTTCTCGTACAGTATGCTCAAGGCGAACGAGGTGATCGGTGGTGGAACATCCTTTCTTGTAACCATATTGGTGGACATCTATCAAGTTATCGGTTTCTAGGATGTATGTTAGCCTAATATTAATAACGCTTTCGTAGGATTTCCCATACAACTTGTGAGTGCTATGAGCCTGTAGCTTGTTGGTAATGTAGGGTTTTTTCCGGCTTTGAGAAATGGAATTATAATGGCTTTTTTCCACTCTGTTGGCATTCTGCCAGTGATCCAAATAGCGTTAAAGAAGTGCAGCAATGCCTTCACCGCTGCCTGGGACAAATGGGCTAGCATTTGGTAATGTATTTTGTCTGGGCCAGGTGCTGTTTTTTTACCTTGAGAAAGCACTCTTAATTTTTGTATGATCTGTTGTGATAACCTGTAATAGGAAGCTTTTGTTTTTCTGTAGATTGTTTATGTTTTAGGAAAGCTGCCGAATAGTTTGCTGAGCTCGAAATAGCGCAAAAGTGCTGCACTAATAGGTCTGCCTGTTCGCCTAAAGTTGTCTGGATGCCAGGGGTTGAGAGAATGGGGATGGTATATGAACTGTAGTTGCCGTTCAACTTGTGCACCTGATCCCACATTCTTTTAGATGTGATGGAACTGTTAATGGATGAAATGTACTTTTTCCACGAGAGTTTTTCAGCCTGCCTGCAAATAAATCTTGCCTTTGCTCTCGCCTTTTTAAATGCTAGGCGGTTCTCTCCTGTAAGATATTTACGAAAAATGCCCCACTCCTTGTGTTGCATTTTTTTAGTTTGTGTGCACTCTTTTGTCCACCAAGGTATAAGTTTTTTCTTTATAATGCCGAAGGATTGTGGTATAGTTTGTATGGCTGCAGCAAGTATGCAGGCGGTGACTGTCTTGTTCATTTCCTCTATGTTTAGGCCTTCAAGCATCTCTTTTTCTAGGGCAGCTTTTTCAGTGAACAGTGGCCAGTCTGCCAGATGTAGTTTCCAACGCGGTGGTCGGGATTGAGTGGTGGGGAGGGTTTGTGTTAATTTTATGAGAGCAGGCATATGGTCACTGCCGTGAACATTATCTATCACGCTCCACTTTATGTCCCAAAAGAGCGACGGTGAGCACAGCGCTAGATCTAAGCAGCTTGTAGCTCCTGTGCTTGGGGAGCAGTAGGTGACGCTACCAGTGTTTAAAAGACATACGTCATTGTTCAGAATAAAATCTTCGAGAGTTTGTCCTCTGGTGTCAGTTGTACTGCTTCCCCAAAGCATTCCGTGCGCGTTAAAATCCCCTGCAATAACAAACGGTTCAGGCAGTTGGTCCAAAATATGCTCTATATCTTTAGTTGAAAAATGCGTGTGTGGGGGGATATAAATGGAACATATGGTGATTGTGAGCTAAAATGGTGACGGCCACAGCCTCGATGTGACTGTTGATGGTGATCTCTCTCACTGCAATACCACTTTGGCGACAATAGCCATGCCGCCAGACAACCGGCTAGCGTGGACGCGATCGCGCCGTACTACGGTAAAACCTCTGAAGAAGTTTGTGTGTTTTTCTCCCAGATTGGTCTCCTGTAAGCACATAGCCATTGGAGAGAGACTACTTAGCAAATCTTTTATGTCACCTATGTTGTGAATGAGTCCTCTACAGTTCCAATGGAGAAGAAAAGCCATTTTGGGCAGAGAACTTGAGCGGAAAAGAGGAGTACGAATTGATTTGTTGGCGATAAAACCTTGGTGACACGTGCGTGATGATAAAGTCAAAACAGAATGGTACCATAACCTTTCAGGTTATGGAAAACGAAACTTATTTTACAGGGCTTTTTGGAGGCCCTGAAATTTGTCTTTTTTGGAGCGGTCGAGAGAAACTCGCTGCTCCTTGGGCACTGCAGGCGCCGTTTGACTGGCAGTTGTGTCCATAGCTTCATGAGAAGCGTTGGACCGTCATCTGCGGACCGATCCCTGGGCGTTGTAAGCTTCGGCTCAAGATACGGCTTAAGATTTTGATGCGCACCATTGTCATCTAGGCCTCGCAAGCCAAGTTTCTTTCCGGCTTTCTCTCGGTTTCCATTCAAGTTTCGAAACCGGTTCTCTGAGCCCCAGGGGCGTTGTACATATGCATATAGTAACATGCTTGTGTACATAAACGGAGTTCCTGCTTGGCTACCGGCTGCTGCGTACCCCGTGTCGGCCGGCGCATCAGCGCCGTGCCCTGTGTTCTCAGTGCGGCGCGCCACCTCGCGATTCTACATTTTGGCGATGAGGATCTGCAATCCATGAGCATCATGCAATAAGGTGGGTATCGAGCCTTCTTCCTCATGCTGTCAACTCAGCACCTGTGCAAGCTACCACACCGATGCGGCATTTCCTGAAGATTACCTGCTTGTGACACACCGAGACCATACCTGCATTGCTCCGCGTCTATACTGCCAAAATAAGCATGTTCCCCGCTATTCCACCACCTCCGTTCCTGCAATGCCCTGGCGTTCCTCCGATTCCGTGGAATACTTGGCGTCGCGTCGTGCAAGTGGACGTTGATGCGGCAGCCCCGGACGCTACGCCAGACACGAAGAAGGTGTTGCTCCTCAACGTGCTTGAAGTGGAGGGATCACAGGCTTACTACAAGGCTGCTGACGAGCAGATGCTGCTTGACGGTGTCCAGCCTTCAGGAGATGGTGCATCATGCGACGCGTGCCAGCAGGCCTTAGCCGTTCTGGACGCATGCTTTACCCCGCCTGCAGACACTTTCTGCGTACGGGCCCGATTCCAGCGAAGAGTTCAAGAACCGGACGAGACTCCCGTCTAATTCATTCTAGTGCTGTGGTAGTTGGCCAACAACTGCAATTTCAGCATCGAAGTAGAGAAAACGGTACAGGACCAGATTCTGCACAGCCTGCATGACCCTGACCTACTTAGGTCATTCTTTCAGATAAGGAACGCTTTCACAGTCCAGGCAGCATTGGCACATGCCAAGGAAGAGGAGTTCGTCGACCGCGCATCGCAGCAGCTGGCTGCTCTGCAGGTTGACTCGATAACGCGACGCGAGCATGAACGCCATAGCGCTCGTCTTCGTCGACCCATACCGCTACAACGTTAGGCTTCCAACCCTGATGTGCCACTGGCCCCTCCGAGTTCTGCGAAAATCTTGCAAATTTTACCAGGCCATACATCGATTTCACGAACTACGACGATTCTGGCCCAGACTGAGAGCGTGTTCGCTTGTACTGCATCTGTCGGTGTCACAGCTGGCCGTGCTCCTAATGTGCCTGCTTCTGATGTGCCTACTCCTGTCGTGTTTCCTGCGGTTGAGCATACCCGGACTCTACCTGCTTGCGTCCTAGCTAACTATACGTCAGTTGTGCCTGCTGCAGCTTTCGCCCCGGCTGTGTTTCTTTCAGCTTGTGGTGGCCTCCGGGCTGCTGTGTCTGTTCTTGATTTGCCGGAGGTGCATTCATCAAGCGTGCCAGCCGAGATTCAGGAAGCGGTCCCTGTTCTGTGTGCTGCGGAGGTGCTACCACCAGTCGCGCTTGTGCCGGCCGAGCCAGTTCCTGTTTTGTGCACGGCACCTGCATCGGTGGCACCGAGGCATGTCCCGTCAGAGCATCACTTCATGCCTCTTCCGGCCCCTACTGTGCCAGAAGTACACTGAAAGGACAGCACATGGGCAGATTTCTACATAGCACCGGACTGCTGTGGGTGGCGACAGTGCCTGTCGTTAAAATGGCACCGCTACAGGCGTCGAAGTCATAGACTCAAACACGACAGTGACTATGCAGACATCCTCTCTCAGGGGAGGGGATGATGTGGTTGTTACTTGGCATTGTACCTTGCGGTTGTATTGTTGGTCTGCATGCTACACATTTTCAATTCATCATTTGTTCTGCTACGTGCTGTGTGTGCTTGTTATTTCTTCTCAAGTATGCATTACCTTTGTATTTTCGTGTGTTTTCTATGTAATTCTTCATGCTGTGTTGTTCAATTTCTTTATTGTGCATTGGCTGCGTGGAGGACACCACATCATATTTATTTCAAGGGGGATGATGCGGTGTCTGGGTTTCTGTTCCGGTTTGGGAACCGGTTCTCTGGTCCCCAGGGGGCATTGTACATATGTATATAGTAGCATGCTTGTGTACATAAACAGAGTTCCTGCTTGGCTACCGGCTGCTGTGTACCTTGTCTTGGCCGGCGCTTCAGCGCCGTGCCCTGTGTTCTCTGTGCGGCACATCCGCCGCACGATACTACACTTACCCTGTATGTTTTAATGCATTGTTACTGCTATCAGTGCCTCACATTTCTGGTGAAAGTATGGATTTCTCTTTTGCATGTCAGGGAGTGAAAATATGACAATAAATGCACACTTCAAACTGTCCACAAGACAGAGCACTCTGAAGGTAAATAAATGTAATTTATCACTTCCCTGAGCTGTCACTAAACCGTAACAGCTATATATACTGCTTGGGCACCACTAGATTCTACTAGCACTGTCAGATCATAGGTGTTTGTGTTCCTGAACATCTTTGCAGATGCAGAAACAAGCTTGCCAAGCTGAATGCTGATATAGAATTTGCAAAAAAAAACACTTTGCATCGAGGTGAATAGCATTAGCTCATTCTAGTTTAATCTTGCAAAGGCAGACTTCCATGTGTTAGTACTGATGATCAGCAAAGCAAGAACAAATAACGCTGAGATTTTGAATCACTTCTATAAATTCAAATGTGTATGTTGTACAATTTACAAAAAACGAGTAAACATATTTTGAAGCCATAAATGCTGCAACAAGCTTGGCTGGCCACCAACGTCGCTTATATCACAAAGGTTGCACCAAAAGAACACTCTAGGAAAAAAGAAGTCACCAGAGCTTAGCAACAGAACATACCTGAAATGAGATCCTCCTTTCCCAACCAAGTTTCTCTTTGGCCTTGCTGGCATCTCCAAGCAAGAAGTCCTATAAAACAATACAAACATAGTACACATTGCAATATATTGATAAGTTGTTAAATGGGAGATGATGCAGTTTAGGAACTTCCCAATTTCCCAATTTTCAGCCATATTTGTATTACCGTAAAATCCTTAGCAAGCTTAGATAATTAGATGTAGAACACTCTAGCAAGGATGTCAGCTTCAAGGCATGTTTGAAATTTTTTTTGTACACACCATTTTAAAGGTTCTGACGACACAAAAATCTGTCACTACAGTTTAACGTAGGGATGATGCAAAAGTGCCCACTGATGGACGTATGAATGAAAGAACTTTATTCAGGTCCAATAGGTTGTGCTAGTGTCCCAGCCCGAAGCGGGCCGCTCCCACGTTGGGATGAACGAAAAAAATAGTGCTGAATTAGCGTCCACAGTTTTCAGTAGCACAATGGTGCTTATGTGCCAACTTATTCAATCTATCACACATATATTTCAGCTTTATATAGATTCTGTTGTACCCACATGTACCATCAAAACTGCTATTGCATATGTTATACACTCTACTATGCACATGTAATATCAGCAGAAGTTCATATTTGAGCAATACCAAAACTGCAATGCAATGGTTATGTTTCCAGATTTACTGCAATAGGGCCTTTTAAAAATTGTAAAGCTAGCTTTCCTGTGATGGAGTTTTACCAACAAGTGACAGCTAGTCACTTTTGCGAACAGCAAGTTCGTGTGCAGTTCGCATGCACTCTTACACAAGAAATGTAGACTCAGCCCTCTTGATGTAAACATGCATAATAGACAAGCTCCAGCAAGTGAAACTAAAGCCTTGTCTGCTCTTGAAATACACCAGGCACTGCCATTAGTTGGACAAATGTGTAGTGCAGAGAAGTGCACTAGTAGATTATAAAAATGTTTTTTGTAAGCGGCTAAACTTGAATACCAAAACGTACATTTCCATCTACACCACACTTGAAAATAGTAGACAAGGATTGCAATAACAAAGCAATGTAATTATAAACAATGACATGATCAGCCACTTCCTGTTTACGTCTGTATTTATGCTATTTATAAGAAGATTCATAAATGTTCATTCAACTTCCACATGGTAATCATTGATTCTGTTTTACATCTCTAGAATGGTTCAAATAATTGTTGTAATTTTATGTCCCATATCACGAAACCACCACATTATTACAAGAGATGTAGTGGAGGGCTCTAGAAATATTGAGCACTTGACATTCTTTCTGAAGTGGTACTAAGAAGATTTAAAACAAGCAACAGATGTCTTTTTAATGGACTTTTGCCTAGCCCCAATATTGAGGCATAAACATAGATTAACCCTGCAAGTTATTTCAACTGATTGAAAGCAAAGTATTGATAAGTGTGTTTAAAGCCTTAGCTTAACTATATGACCATGTTCGAAAATCTTACAGTGCACACTATAGATTCAGGCAATGTTGACTGCACACATATGCTGCACATTAAAAAAAAGAAACCTAATTGACTTACCACTTCTGCAGGGCGAAAATACTTTGGGTTGACCTTTATTCTAACAGCACCACTTTCCTTTTCTTTTCCAACTTCATCCAGGCCTGACCCTTCCCACCTATGAAGAGAGATCACTAGATTATTCCTATGACACTGGGTAATTGAAGTAATGGAGAACATTGAAAGGGAACACATACAATAGACCTTTTTAAGGCCTACAAGTGCCACCAACGGGTGCCCAAGCGCTCATGGGTACAGTATACACCACAGCAGTCATTGCGAGAAGAGCAGGCCTCACTCTTTAGCTTTCGGCCTGCACAGTGCTAGAACTACCTAGATCAAGTGAATCTCGCTAGGTGTAACATATTACTGCTCAATTCAGTCATGAACTTTTTTTGTGTCAAGCTCTCTAGGATTTCCACCTGTCTACCTAGTTTCCTCACATGCCACCGTTTGACTTGCTGAGCCATTTCGAAGCGTCATTGGTTTTTCTCTTTTTTGTGGCACCAACACTCCCTGCGACATAAATTAAGCAAAAAAATTATACCATCTCCCGCTAAAGAGAACCATGTGTAGACGCGAATCAGTCGGCACTAACGCTTACACTGGCGGCTGCGTTGACGCTGGAGCTCATTGCGGCGTTGCGCAGGAGAGAAACCTGGGGAGGCGCAAAGCTTGAAGCCATGGATGTGTTTCCAACTGGAACATGCCAATCGCTGCTACTGGGCAATGAGAGACAGAAGACTGACTGGACACAGAGACCTGCAGTCCCCTTTTAGCTAACATGCACGCTTCAAATTTTCATTGTTCAACAACGCACAGGAAAAAGCTCTCACCGGCACTACCTTGAAGGTCAAGATCCAGGCTTATTTATATAGGGTGGCCAGCGAAGAGTTGCGCAGTGTGAGCAGTCTTTTTTCTCAATCAAGAAAATCACTAGCAGACTCTGCCTGCATCAACATGGTGAGGCTAGAGAGGGGCAGAGTGTAGGAGAAGAGAGAAGGGGGGGAAGGAACATGCATGCACAATGGGGGTGTAAATGCCACGAGGATGGATGCCTAGAGGAGATTGAAGAGGGAGCAAGCATAGGTTAGCAGATGCTCCCTGCATCAGATTATGAGAGGAGAGATAAGGGGAGCGGACGCGCAGCAAGGGTGGTCTCGCTGCACACCAATTGAGTTCGACCCTAAGCTGCTTCGCGTCTAAAAAGAGAACTATCTCTTAAACGAATTCCACAAGAAGTCAATGCAATTAGCAGATCATTTGGGAATCAACGTCTACCGACACTGTTGACAAGCACAATGTTAGGCTACGATATTTAAAGGGGTTGTGAAACGAAAACGAAGCTACCCAGTAATAATTTTTCCTATTTCAATGAGGATAAGACATGCCGATTCCAAACCAGCTTGGGGTAATATACAGTCAATAATGAATGATGCCCATTAAAAATCGCAGTTTTCTTGGGCTCTGTCCTAAACGAGCACTCAGTAAGGGAGCACGCTGCCGAGTTCTGGTGGCGGTTACAGTGCCGGGCACCGGAGGGGCCCTAGGAAGTCTTTCCTAGGAAAGAAACATTCACGCTTTGTTCCAAGGACTTTGGACTGAATAAGTTTTCGAACTCTTTAGTCCTCAAGTGTCTTGGTTACATCACGCATGTGTTTGTATTGTAACGCGTATTGTTGTTCGTGTCCGTTGTTTCAAGTGTAGCCGATTGTTCTGTGTGGTACATTGTGTGATTGGTGGCATATTGTATTCAACTATTGTCGAGTCTGCATATTTGTGTATCATTTGATCTGCCATATTTGAGAATATTATTTTGTTTCGTTTATCAAATCTCGGCTCTGACTCGTTCTTTGGGCCACAGCCCGTGTCCGCTGACGCGCCAGATAGGACCACATCTAAATTGTCCGTGCTTTCGTGGTGCAGTTTGGGGAGCCGATACTTCGGCCCTTGGAATTAGCCAGGCGATCGCCTCCCTAATTAATGGGACCTGTGACAATCTGGCATCCGCGACAGGACCTTTTGGTGCACAGTGTGTCCAAAGTAGTGAGAAAAAGTCTTGAGTCGTTGATAGTGCTATCGGAACAATTTTTGTGTGCTGCTCAGTATTCCCGTCAATGAGTGTGCAGACAGTGTTTCGATAGAGTGAGTTGGCAGATATCTTGTGCACGCAGCTAGAATTTTATTTCAAAAGCACCATAGATCTGGAGAAGTTGGTAGCTCTTAGTGAGAAGATGAGTGTTTCTGGCACCGAATTACAGAAGTGGGTGAGCCAGAAGGAGAATGACGCGGTAGAGGGAGAGAGGTTGGCAGCTGAGAGGGCCAAGAAAGAACGAGAGCAGCAATTGAAATTGGAGCTGGAGAGAGAAAGACTGGCAGCTGAGAGGGTGAAAGAAGAAAGAGAGGCAAAGGAGCGACAGCTGAAAGAAGAAAGAGAGCAGCAAGAGAAGTTAGAGCTGCAGAGAGAAAAGCTGGCAGCTGAGAGGGCGAAAGAAGAAAGAGGCAAAGGAGCAACAGCTGAAAGAAGAAAGAGAGGTGGCGATGGCTGACAGGGAACGGCAGCTGCAGCACAAGATGGAACTCGAGCAGCTGCGTTTGCAACAGCGAAGGAAAACTCCCGTCCAAGCTAGAGTTGAAAGCAGTGAACGGGAAGATCATGGCTTCCGCTTGAACCCAAGCAAGTTGCTCATAGCGTTTGATGAAAGGAAGGACAACCTTGACGCGTACCTTCACAGATTTGAGACGATTGCAAGGAGCCAGAATTGGTCGGAAAATCAATGGGCAACTGCTTTGAGTACTTGCTTGAGTGGCGAAGCCCTCAGTGTGTATGGTAGGCCGAGGCCAACCGATGCAGTCAACTATGCAAAGGTGAAAGCTGCTTTACTGAAGCGATTTAATTTACTGTGGAAGGCTTCCGGGACAGATTTCGAATGGGAAAATCAGCTGATGATGAGACGGCTATGCAGTACGCCACCTGACTTAAGCATTATTTTGACAGATGGATCGAACTTTCAGGCACAGCACAGGAGTATGATGAGCTCAGAGAGCTCCTTATTAGAGAGCAATTTCTTACCAATTGCCAGCCAAGCCTGTCGCTGTACTTGAAAGAGAAGAGCTAAGTCCCTTGAAGACATGCTTGAATTGGCCGACCAATTCTTGGAAGCACAAGGTGGTACAAATCTGGCCAAGGTTGAGAAGAAATGTTCCGAAGATTCGAAGAAATCGGCACCCGAACAAGAGGAGCATGCACCGGAGAGTGTTCCACGATGTTTTCTGTGCAACCGAGTCGGTCATTGCGCTAACACCTGTCGAATTAACTTTTTGAGACCTACAGTTGTCAAATGTTTCAAATGTGGTCAGACCGGGCACATGGCAGACGCATGTCGTAACGGAGCAAGTCAAACTCGCCAAGTACCCTGTGTGCAGGCGGCAACAAAAGCCGATGATGACGACGTCACCGACGAATTTGTGGAGTTAAAAAATGGGAAGAAACTTCCTATTGTGGGAGCTGTAATGACAAAATGGCCAACCGGTGTTATGAAGGGAATGCCAACGCTGCCTGGAAAAGTTGCGGGCAAGGAGGTTACACTGTTAAGAGGCACCGGTAGCTCGACTGTTATCGTGCAGAGAAATTTGGTACGAGAAAGTGAATTAACAGAAAAAACGAAACCAGTTTGCCTAATTGACAGCATGGTTCAGATACTTCCCGAAGCAGAGATTGAGGTTGAAACCTCTTACTTCAGCGGGAAGGTTACTGCCCTATGTATGACGACCCCCCCCTGTATGACTTCATCATCTGAAACATCGACGGGGCATGAGGGTCAAACGATCCAGAATTTTCGGTGAAAGACCCGAACAAGGAGCCTTCGCCGTCACAGGGACTGCGAGATAGTGTAGAAGATTCCCACGACAAATTTCACCCAAACTCAAGGTGAAGTACGAGTACAAAAGACAGTGAATCGGGAGATAATCGTGTCGAACAAGAGAATGTGCCATGCAGCTGGACTTGCGGCGAAACGACCTCAACCGACCAACAACAAAAAAAAAAAGGTGACGAAGTCTGCCAGCCAGGCCCCATGTCGTGACGCGAACAAGCTGGTGAATAACCAGACAAGCTCGGTTGAACGTTATGACCCGTCAACGGTGTCAAAAGTGTCAACGACGGCTGAGACGCCACCTCAGATACCGTCTATTGGAATAGCTCACCGAAACAGAACGAGGAAAAATAAGAAGAGACCGAGTGAGCACTGCAAGAAAGGGCGCAAGCGCAGCTCACAGTACAGAGGATAGGTGCTGAGGTCGAATCAGAATGTGTTTGGTAGTGTTGAACCTCAATGTGTTGTGTTTTTGTTATACTGTGTCACAAGTGTATGTCGAGCGAGTCAAAAGGTTTGTTGTGGTGACGTGATGCAGTTGACAAGATTGTACCAGTGTTGTAAAGGCAGACCCTGGTACATTTGTATTGTTTGAAATATGTGATGGAGTGTTGTACTCATGTACCTGTGGTTATATTTCATGTGTTGTGAAATTGGATTACAATGTACATTGTATCGAGCGTTCTGCTGTGAATATGACGCGCCATGAGCGATGGGCTGTCTTACGGACTGTTGTTGTGCGGAGACTGTTCGCGCCCATTTGTGTGGTTTTGAATATTGTCACGGGGTCGTGATGTGGCCGAAGACAGGAGACTTCGTGTTGGGATTTAACTGTTTATTTGGGCGAACCTGTGCCCGGTAAAAGGAAAGTCCAATTACAGCAGCAGTCTCGCACAGATAGCAGTCTCGGACTGATAGCGGCGAACAGAGCGTCGGCCTTCGATCAACAACTACTGACAAGTGGCGAAGCACGTCGGCATTTATACTCTTGCCATCGAATGTTCCAGCGTTATCGCTGGCAGTGTCGTAGGTTCCAGAACAATCTGTACCGTTCGCACAGTGGGCGTGAACTTATCGAAATGATCTACTACAGTCCGGAACCTTCTGGAAAACTGCAGGCGCGGTTTGCGCTGAGAATCGCGTGGTGTTTTGGGACGATAACGAAAACTTGGGAAATGGAACGTGGCATTGCCCCCCCCTGAAAAAAGGCATCGTCCCGATGCTTTAACTAAAGATGAAGGTA